TTGAACTCCCCATGCAATACATTTCTACAACGTAACGTAATGCATAGCTACAACCTTATATACTGTCCCATGTCCCCGATCCAGAGTCATGCTTGTGTATCATTTGCTGGAAGCTTCAAATACAGAAACTGAAAGCAACTTCCATAAAGGTTAAATGCAATCATTTATGGATATTGATTGATAAACAATGATGTTTGTTATCTGGCTCAATTTGGCTCAGTTGGAGTTAGTGATTGAATCCCTTGTAGAACTCTGCTAAGTTTTGTAAAGTACTCCATTCCTTCCCTGTGTGATGCTTTCTATGCTGTTAAGTAGATAAACAGTGAAGCTGTTTGTTAGGGACAGACAGATACCACATCTAGAGGCACATAATTCATACAACAGACAGACATAGGGATAGACACACAGAGACACAGGGACAAAGACTCCTAAGACAGCCTTCATGCAGGTGCAAATTCAGACTCATGTAACAGGCTGAGGATGGAAGAAACAGGTGGCATGGAGTAGAGAATTTAGATCTGAATCCATTCTTGCTTAAAACACTCTGGGAGTGGGGGTTGGGGGCTGGAGAGTTAACTCGCCAGTTAAAAGCACTGATTGTTCTTCCAGAGGTCCTGAGTTCAATTCACAGCAACCACATGGTGGCTCACAACCATCTGTAATGGGATCCAATGCCCTCTTCTGGTGTGTCTGAAAACAACTACTGAGTACTTATATACATAAAATAAATCTTTTAAAAAAAAAAGACTCCAGGGGAAGCACTTTATATCTTACTGTGCCATTGATGTATTGTTGGTGACTTGAAGTTAATCACTGATTTATAAACCCTGTGTAAGATGGAAGACATTCATATAGTAATTTAACCCAGATATAATTTCATAGGAATACCCAAAATAATATTTGGTTAAGTATCTAGTCTACCTAACATGCAATTGACTATCATGACCTTGAATAGGGGCCTCTGTGGTTCTCAATTCTGTGCTTCAAACAAAACAAAAAATCAGGTGCATTGAGATAGTTCAGTAATTAAAGGCTTTTGCTGCCAAGCCTGTTGGAGTCAGTTCATCCCCAAGACACACATGGTAGAAGGAGAGAACCAACTTCCATAAGTCTGAACTCTGTATATATACTATGCATGTCATGTACACATACACATGCTAAATAAATATAATTTTAAAGAAATTTAAGCATTCTTTATAAATGCAAGAAAATTTAAGCAATTTCTATAATTCTTTACTAAAACCCAAGCTCAATTTAATGAATTGCTTTGGCTACTTTTTCCCTCCACATGTAGTGAGCCCTGACTTATTTTGGTTTCCTCACACTGACAGCCCCTCTGAGCCCTGCAGCCCACCAATTTTCACCAATATATTATGCAGGTATTTCTGCAAGAATTCTTGAGATTTGTGACTTTCCTGCTTTCACATTTCTATTTTGTGCCCCCTCCCCCCACACACAAAAGATGATCTATATTGAAAACAAGGACCATTAATGGGCAAACAAAAACAAACAGGAATACAAACATAAAAGCTACTTTCCTGTTGCTGTGATAAAACACCATGAGCAGGCAACTTATAGACGTTTAATTGGGCTTGTGGTTCCATAGAGGTAGGAGTCCATCATGATGGGGAATCATGGTGGCAAGAGGCAAGCACTGCGGGAGGAGCAGGAAGTTGAGTGTTTGTAGCTCTCATACGGACTGCTCCTGTTTGCAATCCAGCCATAAATGAGTCCCCCACCCCACCACCGCCTGCACCACATCCTCTCCAGCACTCTTTGTTAGTTGTTTTGTTGATCTTTGCCATTCTGACTGGGGTAAGATAATATCTCAAAGTCATTTTGATTTGTATTTCCCTAATTTCTATAGAAGATAACATTTTTGAGATATTTCTTAGTCATTTTTTCCACTTCTGAGAACTCTTTGTTCAGTTATCATTCCTGCAATGGGTCATTTGTTGTTATTTGTTTTTCATATTTCTTTTTTGAGTGCTTGAGTATACAGGATAATTTTCTCTCAGATATACAGTTCATGCTTCCTCCTCACCCAGTTGATAATTTCATTAGTTGTGCAAAAGCATTTTACTTTTATGAAGTCCCAGTTATCAATTGTTGGCCATAATCATTGGATAAATGGAGTTCTATTCAGGAAGTTCTTTCCTACACCTATATCATGTAACACACACCTATGCTTTCTTATATCAGCTCCAGTGTTTCTATCAGGTTTCATGTTTAGGTCCTTGATGCATTTTGGAGTCAGCTTTGTGCAAGGTGATAGATATGGGTCTAATTTCATTTTTCTGCATAAGGACATCCAGTTTCCCCAGCACCATTTGTTGAAGATTTTCTCCAGATCATGTATCTGGTGTCTTTTCAAATATGAAGTAGCTGAAGTTATGTGTACTCCTACTCAGGCCTTCAGTTTTGTTGCATTGGTCTACATGTCTGGTTTGTGCCAATATCACATTGGCTTTATTACTATGGCTCTGTAATATAGCTTAAGATCTGGAACGCTAATCACTCCAGGATTGTTCTTTTCACTCAGCATTGTTTGGCCACCGGGGGTCTTTGCAGTTTCACATGAATTTTAGGACAATGTTTTTCTATTGTTGTGAAGAGTGGGATGGAGATTTTGATGGAGATTGCATTGAATCTGTGAATAGCTTTAGGTAAAATGGTCATTTCCACAACATCAGTTCTACCACTCCATGAACATGGGATGTCCTCCCATTTTCTAGTGTTTTTCTTATCTCTTTCTTCAGGAGCTTAAAGTCTTCATTGTAGAGGTCCTTTCCTTCTTTGGCTAGGTTTATTTCTAGATATTTTATTTTCTTTGGGATATTATTAATTGAAGTGTGTCCATGATCTCCTTTGCTATATATTTGTTATTGGTATATATAAAAGCTATTGGTTGGTGAAGTGGAAATTTCTAGTTTCTTTGGAGACTCAGCTATATCATATGATGTTGTGCTGAAACAAACACAAATGAGAAGATGTTTTGCTGAAGCAGACAGGTGAGAGGATATTTTGCTGAAGAAGACATGTGAAAGAATGTGTGATGATTAGAAAGAATATAAATATAACCCCAAAGACAGTGTGACAAAGCCCTTGCATTGGTTCTCCTTGCTCCCCTTGGCTAGTCTTCACTGATGAGGCTCTTGCATTGGCTCACCCTGCACCTCGATGCTGATCTTTGGTTATCCTGACTTTGTAGAGGGTAACTTGCCAAAGAACTTCTTGCAATATCTCTGTGGCTTCTTGCCACTTCTGCAGACTCATGCTGGTTGGAGCCTCTTGTTTTCTTCTGGATCTAACTGCCACAACTGTGTCTTATTTGGTACTTGCTGAGTAGTCTGGACTGCCACTGCTGATTCATGTTTGATGTTTTGATAATGGTCTGAACTGCAAACAACAAACATTGGAATAGCTCAAAGAATTATTTCTAAACAGGTCCACAACCCCCAAATTTAATGGGTTAAATTTCCTATTAGCCTCTCTTTTTCCCCCTCCCGTGGTAGATGAACTAGAAGTGAGGTTGAAGCATTAAAAAACCCTAATTAAAGTAGGCTCTGAAAAATTGAAGCCTACAGATTTGTGCAAGTTGATTCCATATGCTGCCACATTGTTCAATTTGTTTATCGCTTCTATATGTTTTCTGGTAGAATGTTGGGATCCATACTTTCATGTCATTTATAAATAGAGAATTTTGACTTCTTTTATATTTGTATCCCTTTATTTTCTTTCTCTTGCCTTATCACTCCAGCTAGTACTTCTAGCACTAGAGTTGAAAAGGAATGGGGATACTAGACATCCCTGTCTCATTACTCGCCTCAGTGAGATTACTTCAAGTCTTTCTCCATTTAGTTCAGTGGTTCTCAATCTGTGGGTTGCAACCCCTTTGGGATTCAAACAACCCTTGCACAGGGGTCACATAAAGATATTCTGCATATCATATATTTACATTATGATTCATAACAATAGCAAAATTGGAGTTATGAAGTAGCAATGAAAGTAATTTTATAGGTAGGGATCATCACAACATGAGGAGCTGTGTTAAAGAGCCACAGTGTTACAAAGGCTGAGAACCATTGGTTTAGGATGATACTGACTGTGGGTTTCTCATATACAACCTTTATTGTATTGTATGTTCCCTTCTGCCCTACATTCTCTAGGACATTTACTATGAAGTCACGTTGAATTTTGTCAAAGGCTTTTTCTGTATCTATTGAGCTGATCATGTGATTTTTGTCTTTGAGCCTATTATGTGGTTTATTACATTTATTGACTTGCCTATGTTAAACCACCCCTGCATTTATTTCATGGATAAAGCCAACTTGGTCACTGATGTATGTCTATATTCTGTTTGTGAGTATTTTGTTCAATATTTTTGAGTCTGTGTCTATCAGCCGTAATGGCCTGTGGTTTTTGCTTGTCATTGTTGTTGTTCTTGTTACTGCTATGGCTGTTGTGTCCTTGTCTAGTTTGGGTATTAGAGTGATGCTGTATTGGTAGAAGTTTGGGAGTGCTCCCTCTGCTGGTGGGAGTGACCCTGCTTAAACATTAACTCCTTACAAAGTCTTGGCCTCTGTGGGAAAGCACTAAGAATAATCATAGATCTTGTAGACAGGTAGCCTTTGGTGGGAAAGTAGCTTAGATAAGAACAAATGACCAATAGATCTTGTAGACAGGTAGCCTTTGGTAGAAAAGTACTAGCCTGGATAAGAACAAATGATCACTAGATCTTATGGACAGGTACATAGTGATCTGTTCCACCCTACTTCTTCTGTCAACTTTTCACCCAGCCAATATCCTGTTTTGGAGAACATCTGTACTCAACCTGAGAACACCTGCACTCCCCAGAAACAAAGAAGACCCTACATCCTCCTCCTCCCTATATCCTGCTTCTATGTGTATATAACCCCGTGTGGGACAAATAAAAATTCGACAGCTTGATCAGATTTCTTGACTTACTGTCTGTTCTTTCCGTGCCCTTGTTCCCCCAGTTCTCTCTTCCAGGTCCTTTGATCCCAGTTCCCTGCCACGCAGACTGGGGGATTCTGGCACCTGAACAGGGACTCTGGGGATCGCAGAAGAGAGAACGCCACTCTGAAAAGAAGGGTAGACCTACCCGTTTATTTTACAGAGCATTGAGGGTGACTACTTGAAGTGCCTGAGGGCAACTTCGCATATACAGAGTGCTTGAGAGCGACTCCCGAAGCACTGTGAGTGACTTCGCTTTCTACAGAGCACCCAAGAGACGATTCCCAAAGCGCTTCGCAATCAGAAGGACACCACGGTCCAACCCACCGTGAGACAGTCCGTGTGGAGAATCAGAGCGGCCAGTCTTTGAGGTAAGGCACAGGACAAGCATTTTCTAAGCGGTCACTATTTGTGACAGGGCTCAAGAAGTCCCTCAGGACGCGAGGAACTAGAGTTAAGAAAAAGGATTTAAAGAAATTTTTAGCTTTTGTAGCAGACATTTGTCCATAATTCCCCTAAGAGGGAAAAATTGATGAAAAACGGTGGCTCCGAGTTGACGATTGTATTAAAAATTACTATGAAACATTTGAATCTGCAAAAATGCCTGTTAGAGTTTTTTAGCTATTGGTCCCTTTTTAATGACATTCTGAGAATCACCCCTAGAATGGCCAAATCTCCGGTATTTGATCTACGAAGGAGAGCGGTCTCTTACAGAGTCCGTCTCCCGTCTTCCTTCTGCTAACATAACTTGTACACTGAATCTGTCCCCTTTAAGAGAGGAACCTTTATTTGCCCCGCCTTCAGCAGCTGGTGCCTTGGATAGGTCTGCTTCTCTGTCAGTCATCATTAACATGGACGCCATCCCCGACCTTCCCCCTGTAGAAAAACTTTCTCCAAAACCTCTTAATAACAAGCCCAAACAGAGCCTTTATCCCTCTTTTCGTGCCCTTGAGGACGCTGGCAATCTGCCACCCGTGAATGAAATGAATCTTTCAGAAGAGGCAGCCCACTATGAATTGAATCATCGGATCATTATTACAACCCGCCCAAAATGGCCACAATTGTCCTAGCCTCACCCCCTTCCCCACCCCACCCCCAGAGGTGTTGCTACACTCCCGTCTTTTATTCTGCCACCACCTTATGGAACTCTAGATACAGTTTTTGACCTGCCTGCCATGTCTGACACATGCTACCAGTTGACTTTTGATGTGACATCCCTGGGAGGGAAGGTATAGACCCAGAAGAAACAGATCCAATTGGTTAGAGGTTACTGCTGTGGCAGGGAGACACAGCTGCCATGGAGATTTCAGAGCCCTCCTGGGAACAAGAGAGAATCAGGAGACGTCCTGCTCTCTCTGGCTCCTATTGGAGAGATCCTTAGTTCTGCTTTTTATGCCTATTGTCTGTCCTTAGAGTGCCATTCTGTCCATGTGTGTCAATTGTCTGTCTTTGTTTCATTGTTTGAATGATTGTTGTTCTATGTTTCATACTCAAGAGAAAAAATGGTTAAAACTGCTTGCTATCCACCCCTTGATTTAGTTTAAAACCTGCTTAAAAGACAGTTTCAATTTATACAACAGAGGCTGACAGATAAGTTACCCTGCTCTGAGACTGGGAGTAGGGCACAGCAGAAGGAGTCCTGACAGGAGTTGGGGGGGGGGCAATAGTTTTTTGGTATCTATCGTAAAGGGACTGATAGTCATTTTCCCAGTTCAACAAGTGAAAGGGTGCTTTTCTCTTAAAATTACAGCTGGAAAATGTAAGAAAAATTTGTTTAGATAAAATCTATAAGATGTGCATTTATTTGATTTTTGTTCTTGACTGATTTTAAAAGTATAAATATGATTTATATGACTATAAGTTATTGGTTATGATTAAAAATTTATAATTTTTAATAAAAAGCTAGATTAAAACTGGTAATTCAGAGTTAGAGTCATTCAAAAGCCAGATGTATAAAAGAGATCTCAGTAAGAGTTTTATCTGAGGTCAAACAAGGCTCTAATTAACACATTATATTTGTTACACAATTGGCTTATTAGTTGATACCTCTGAAGGAGTTTTAACACAAGCCTTTGCTCTCACACAATGAGCTTTAAAATTTCAGGGAGTGCTTGTTGCTTCAGAAAACATTCAAAGACAATATTTTTTCAATATTTGAGACATCAGCTATGTTCCTTTTTTTTTTTTTGGTTTTTTGAGACAGGATTTCTCTGTGTAGCCCTGGCTGTCCTGGAGCTCACTCTGTAGACCAGGCTAGCCTCGAACTCTCGAACTCAGAAATCCACCTGCCTCTGCCTCCCAAGTGCTGGAATTAAAGGCGTGCACCACCACCGCCCAGCTCAGCTATAATCCTAAATAAATTGTGACACAGAAAATTCAAATAAGAAAAGATAGCTTTATTACTTTAAACTATTTTCAAAAGCTTCTAGGGGATGCTAATTGGCTAAAACCTTATTTTTCGCTCACCACAAGAGGACTTAAGCCTCTGTTTTCAAAGGAGATACAAACTCTAATTTCCCTCAACAATTAACTGATAAAAGAGGAGTAATTTTGCAGAAAGTAGAGGAAGCTGTTATTAATAGATATATTATATAGAATGATTAGTTGTTAGCTGTTTTATAGCAGTCTTTTGAAAAAAGGGACCATTATAAATATGTAGATTCATATTTCTTTATTTCCAAAGAAAGTTTTAACATTCTGTTTTAAAGCTGTTGCTGTATTAATACAAAATTATAGGTCAAAATTACAAAGGTATTTTAAAGAAGAACTTAATGAAATATTCCTTATTCCAAATAATAATAAAATTAATTATTAAAGAATATTGATATTTGACCTATTACATGAACAATTTGTTACAGTTTTCCCCTATATATGCTTTTGTATTTCTTATAAATTTATACATATAGCCCATAAAAGGTGTGTTTACTGTATTAATAGTCAGCTCATCTAATCGGAAGGCAATATATATAATTAGATTACATGTTTATTTTCTTGGGTTCCCCCCTACTTCAGTACAAAGGATTGAAGTACGTGCTAAAGCCACTGTTAAAAACGCTGAAAAAGTAAGCTTTCAATTTGTATATTCATAGCCAATATATAGCTCCTGGTTTATAATCTCTTGAAATTATTTCTTTTTTAGATAATGGTAATTTTCAAATTTTACAAATACAGCTCAATTTAACAAACATGTATTTTTCCTTAATTTTATAAGACATTTAAGAGCTTATACTGGAATGCCTAGACCCCAGGAAAATGCCATAACGGATTTGTATACCAGGCAGATTATAGGCTTTATAGAAATAATTGGCCATCCAATCTTATTCTCTACATTGGTGTTGCTATATAATAAAAGTTTATTTATCCAAGTTATTATAACTGTATTATAGGTCACTGTAGCTGACCTGCCTTCTGTAATCTTTTGAGGCCAGAAAATGCAGTTTCTGGCACTTAGCACCTCATCCTAAAAAGAGCCAAAGATTAAGTAAACAGCCTTTGGTCTATCTCAGCAGGAATTGCTTGGCTCTAACTTATGCCTGCTAGTCTGAGGCAACTTTTAAAAGTTGTTATAGAGTTTATTACTAAATGTAAAAAGTTTCCTATGAAAACTATCTAAGGAAAAAAGTAGAAAGAAAACTTCTATTCTGTTTGAGAAAAGGAAAAAGTTCTATTTTATATGCTATTCTAAGTGGGGAAATGCAAAGAGTTCTGTTTTGAATTTGTAATATTTTTTGTTTGTTTCAGGATGTGGTCTACTTTAGGGAAGTATCCAAGTGCTGTTGAGTAGAATGTGTAATCTTTAATGTTTGGGTAGAATGTTCTGTAGATATTGTTAGTCCATTTGATGTCTGATATCAATAAACTCTGATATTTCTCAGGTTTTAATTTTGTTTGATTTGTTTTTTTTTAATTGGGGGGGGTTATTTGGTTTTTTGTTCATTTCTTTGTTTTGTTTTTGTCCAGATGTTCTATCTATTGGGAAAAGTGGAATGTTGAAATCACCTACTTTTAATTGATGTAGGACAATATGATAAAGCCAAACTTTTAAATTATAGGCATAGATAAAGAGAAAAAATCCCAAGTGAACGACATAGACCAGATCTTCAACAAGATCATAGGAAAAAACCAAGGAAGGGCACACTCATACAAATACAAGAAGCAGAAAAAAAAAAAAAAACAAATACAAGAAGCACATGAAACACCAAATAGACAAAGCCACAAAAGAAAATCCCCACAGCATATCACAGTTAATTTGTGCCTTTAAATGCCTTAGTACATTTTTACAAAATTGGATTCCCATGATTTTGGTACATATATGTTTAGAATACTATTTTCTTCTTATGTAACTATTCCCTTGATTAGAATAATTTATCTTTTCCTGTTAAGTTTTATTTTGTAGTATATTGTTAGATCAGTAATGCCTGCTTGCTTTCTGATCCCATTTGACTGGAATACTTTTGTCTTTCCTTTTTCTCCAAGGCAGTACCTATCTTTAAAGCCAAGAGAGAAGATAATGGCTTGATTCTTCATACTGTTATTATTGTAATGAGCAGGACATGTGAACTTCGTTAGTTCGAGTTTCTTATGAACAGAAAATGTTGGGATGAAAGGGAAGATGTGGGTACAGGTTTGATCTAGATGTTGGAAATGACTTAGTGGAATTGAAGTCAGGTGGACAGAGGGGACTGGGATGGAATACAGGATGTGCTTCCTGTTTCAATCATGGAGTAATGGGTAGATATGTCTGGGTGGAAAGGTTGGATATGGCATGGTAGAGTCCTATGATTTGGAGGTATGTAGTGAGAGGATCCCACCTAGGGATCCTTTACAGTGAAGTGAAGGCAGGGAAAACCAGACTATGCTGGCTGGTCAAGAAACCAAGGATAAGCCTTCTGGATTGTGAAAAGGGTTTAAATGGGGAGGTCAAAGATACTCACTAGGCTAGACTCTAGAGGAAGACATGGGAAGTCTGGATACTTTGGGAAGTTTGGATATCTACTAAGGTTGTAGAGCTGGCCCAATAAGGAACTAAGAGGCAGAGACTTTGGGTAGGGAAGATTCCAGAAGAAACCTAGAGCTTGGATGTGGTACAGGAAGTTAATCATAGAAAGCCAGGGCACAGGACGTGAGACCCAGGTTAGAGCCTGGAGGAGTAAATGAGAAGTCTGGGTGCCTAATGCGGTAGTGTGGAAAAGACCAGAATGGATCTACCCATAGTTTCAGATAGTGAAAATCCTGACAGAAGCCTAGATGTTTGCTGCAGTGCAGGCAAGAGTCTCTAATCTTTCATTTTTCTTATGTAATTTTCCAAGCCCAATACCCTGAAGACAACTTTGTATGTAACTAGAGTTCAAGACCAGAGGCCTGGCCCCTGTTCTACATACCAGGTTCAACTGCTTACGAAAGAAAAGAAAGAAAGCAAAGAAAAGTAACATGAGAGGCAAGAAAAGAGTTTATCAAAATAGCTACTCAGAGAGGCACAAAGCAATGCAGCCTCCTTCATGGTCCTGGCATGAGTTTTAACTTTAAATAGAGGAAGAATTGAGGCAGGGATGAGAAGCATGCATAAGTAAGCCATCTTGGTCTAAGAATGTTCCAGTTACTCATTTTCTAAGGTCTAATTCATCAATGTGGCCAAAGGAGTCCTTATTGCTAAGGGAGCAATCTTATTCCCCTTGAGATGATTGCTCCTATTTGGGCTATCTCATGATGGGGTGGTTTGTTTGTAGGTTCTGATGTATCTGGAATCCAAGATGAACACAGATTCAGAATCTTGATGAGAGTGTGGCAGCATTCTTTGATTACTCTCATCTTTGTTCCTTTGGCCTTGAAGAGAGCTGAGAGTATCATCATTTTTGAGACAGTTTTAAGCCTGCCTTCTGACCTGTGATTCCAGCCTCAGCCTCCCATATCTAGAATTATAGCAACACATCACACAGCTGCTCAGAGAGATGTGGGGAAAATTACAGGCCGCAGCAGTGGTGTCCCAGTGGGTTTCCACACTGCGGCGGGTCCCACATGCAGGAGGAAGGTCTAACGTTCCAGCGGCCTGGAGGCTTTGGCGACGGCAGGCCCCGATAACACGAGGAAGTCCTTGGTTCCAAAAGGGTTTATTGTCATGGTGGATGGTGGATGGATTTGGATGTACCCCCGTAAAACTCAGGGCAGTCCCGAGTTATATAGGGAGGAAGAAAGGGGGATGATTGGGGGAGGATCCGGAGGAGGCATGCTTAATTTGCTCTGCCCTCTGGCCTTCATTAGTACGTAAATCCCTAGAGCCTGAGGCCTCTAGTCACGCCCATCTGTGCTCTTTGGCAGGGGCTGTAATGGCCGGCCTACATGACTGAGTTTTAAGGAGACTAGACTGTTTTTCAGGACCCTGAGTTCTTGGGGTGCACCGAACTCCTGCTGGTTCCAGAGTCTCGGGGTTCTAGGCAACTGCCCAACCATGACCCAGAATACCCTTACGCAGTCCCACAGAGAGATGCTCCTTGGGTAATTAGCATGCCCAAGTTAACTTAACAACTGTTCAGTGAAACATAAAGTTTGCCCAAAAGTTTGACAAAAAGGGGAAAAGACCAACGAAAATTGAAGTCCCAACAGCCAGGCTTTCACTCAGCTTTGAGTCACCTTTCAGGCCCAAGGAAGAAACTGGTCCTTTCCAGCAAGAGCAATGTCTAAGGGCCTGTTATAGATTCCCTTCAATATATTTCTCCAGCTAAGTAGCATCCGGAAAAGGAATACTCTGCATTTGTCACAAACGCTCCCTATTTTAAACAAGGCTGAAAG